AATCGTGACAACTAATTGTGCTTCCAAGAGCTCGAGATCATCTCAAAACTTCGTCTCTGTACTTGATAAGCAAAACCGGGACCCAGGACAGCAAAACGAGCAGCGATTAGGACCGTGAAATTAGTTTCCATATGCTTGTGATGGGTTTCAAGTCTCTACCACTTCATCTCATACATAGAACTAGAACTTATGTCTCGCAAAGTGCCGTACAACAAAATGAACCTAAGAACACAGGGGAAACAGGGGCATCTACCTTGGAGGAATCGCGCAGCGACTCCCACAGCGGGAGGAGACTGCGGAACTCGACTACCCATGCGTCCTGCGGCGGCAGAGGCGGCCCCTCCGAGGCAGCGGCCGACTCGACCTGCGGCATGGGTGCAGGGGCGGATCCCCTGTTTTTTGGAAAAGAAAAAAATTGAAATTTCTCATTTGCTAATAGAAATGATGGCTAACTACAGCGGGAGTGGAGAGGAGGGCAGGAGGGGGCGTACCTGTACCTGGTGGATGCTCGTCGCCGGCGAAGCCTGGCGATGGGTCACGCCGCTCGCCCAGCCGTCGCCGCCCAGTGAACACCTCTGCTCCGCCAACTGCTGCTGCCTTTATCTGGGCATTTGGGAGAACCAACGAAGGGGACGACGAAGGCAGCAGACAGGTTAAAGGACCCACTAGCTTGGGTTATGTTGTCAGTGTCAAGAATTCAAGTGCGGCTTGAAGATTATTGGAGGACTCGACTTGTAATAAATATAGTTAAGTCCACCTTATTCCATATTACCTCTGTCTATAAAAGAATGCAACTCTCGTTTTTATCAGTGAAACAAATTTTAACTTTCATTAAAAATATTAAAAAAAACTACTAGCATTTATAATACAAAATAAGTATCATTAAATTAATTATAAAATATATTTTAGTAGTAAACATTTTTTAAGACATACTTCTTTTATTTCAAATTATAAGTTATTCAAACTTTCTTAAAGAATTAAAATATCTCAAGTTTAACTAAAATTATAGAGAAAATTATAAAGACATATGAGATCAACCACTGTGGATGCTCTAAGTAGCAAGCCCACTCAAGATAGTGTTATTTCCTCCAACTTCCTTGGAGAGTCTCCACAGTCAAGACTAGGATAGAGCAATAAGTATAAAAAGAGGATAAGGTAGGCAGGTAGCAATGTGGTGATGTATACGACCGAGATATCCTAACAAAATTAGCTCTTTGACAAAAAGATGAAAAAACAAAAAAAGGCTCTATCCTTCCATCTCTCGGATAAATAGAGAGGGTGGGTAGAGTCATTTGTGTCCTTTTCAAGTTAAAAACCCCGGGGGAGGGGGGTTGTTATAATGATGAGCCAATATTTGTCTTATGTCTTTTCTCATTTATTGCTTGATATTTTCATTATTTTGGTGTCTTAGGCGTAGACAACTACACCAATCCATTCTAAATTCGATGGTCAAACTCTAGTGCAATAATGATACTACAACTTTATTGCACTATTAGGAGGCATACCTTGTCTATACAAATTTATACATAAAATGAAATGGTTGACATATGTATATCGATAATATAATAGTAAGAAATATGTTTTTTCATAATAAAATAATAATACGCATATGATTATCTCGTAAGAACATTTAAAAATCTTGAGAAGTAACGAACGTTAGTGTGGACCATCGGACTATATTTTTTATGTTTTTTAGATTTTTTTGAGTAAACATTCATTATAAGACTTAATAATAATATTCTCTTAAAGATTAGCATCGCTAGCCTATTCTAAATCTCACTTCAAACTCTATCGTCGATCTTAAACGATGTGGTATGGGTTTAAATGACTATCTTTGCTATTATAATATTATCTCCATCCCAAAAATGATGCCATACTGGTTTTAGATTGGGTCAAACTTTCTGAAGTCTGACTAAGTTTATAGAAAAACATTGCTAATATGTATGACTTAGATATTCTATAAAAAATATAATCCATGATTAATGTAATGACTTATTCTGTATCATAAATTTTAAGTATTTTTCCTATAAATTTAGTCAAACTTAAAACTATTTGACTCCTTGAAAAACAAGAATTGTACATTTTTTAGAATGAAGTTAATAAAGATATAATAAACACACGAGTTTCATTAACTTAAAGATAAAATACCTATAACAACTGATAAGCTCAACATTTTTAAACCAAAATCAAGATTTAGGACGTCATAAGATTATGTTTTCTGAGATTCTGGCATGTACGGGATCACGGTTTGATCGACTAGTAGTTGCCTTAAGTCTTGACGCACCAGCAGCAGGTTTAGTGGTTTACAAACAGAAGCTCAGTTCATGAGTAACCTTGTGTTGAATGTGGATGGCTCGATCGGTAAACCGAGTCACGCTGGAACGAAATTTGAACTTGAGACTCGGATAATGAAACCGTGTTGGACAATACGCCACCCATGGGAAAGGAAATCCAAACTTTTGTTGAGTTGTTCCCAATGAACCGCAGTGGCGCGGAGAAGATATGATATCCGCTCACAATTCTTTAGCCACAACCGAATTGTTCTTCTGATCACAAACCTCTACTGCTAGTCTGCAACTCGTTGGTTTCTCATACACATTGCATCCCTGGGAACAGATGTTCAAATGCCGCTGGATTCTGGCGTTCAGTTACATATCTTGTAGTCTTCTGAACCACCCACCTAGTACCAGGCAGGTGTGCAGACACGAGTTCGTCGGCCGGACTTCAGATTTCAGAGGTTCGGTGCACATTCAGAAGTTCATCAGATATTCAGAGTTGAGGATCACTTAGGTGATGTTAAGGCAGAAAAGAATGCTGGAGTTCAAGTTTGGATTCTGAATTGCTACCAACATTTTATATAGTCCTATCTAGTTTGAATTAGAGATGCTAAGAATCCTCATATGCAAATACCATGGCTTCCATTTGGTGCACGCGTGAGTTTCAGTACCGAGTCACTGACGACAATCAGAAGATTCGTGTGACAATCAACCAGCCAACCAAGTCAACCTTCAGGTTTTGTCTGAGTGAGATTACCAGAGTACAAAAACCCATGAAGAAAAGATTTTAAAAAATGGTTTCTCGTCACAACAGAAGCCACAAACAAGTCCGTAAGCGACTGACAAAGGTTAAAGTGACGAATGAAAGATGCGGTTGATGCATTGGTTTCTGCAGGTCTTTCAGTCCCAGCCACAGTTGCAGTCCACTCTGTATTATGAAATGAAAACAACAAATGTGTCAGCAAATGAGGGTCAGCCAGGAAGTCAGTGGAAGGAATGCATGAGATATAGCAAGTGAAGTCTGCACAGATAATTAATGTCAGACAAGATTTTCATAAAACTGAAGGGCAGGCCTGGTGCAGTGGTGAGAGCTGTCTCACTGAGTCACCAGGTCGTGGGTTCGAAGCAGCCTCTCCACAGATTTTGCGGGGGAAAGACTTGTCTCGGTTTATCCCTTCCCCAGACCCCACTCATGTGGGAGCCTCTGGCACCGGGTCTGCCCTACAAGATTTTCATAAAACGTCATCAGGTATGAGTGATGCATATGTAAATATAGCATTGTAGCTAGATAGTTCAAGTAATTGACATTGCATAGTGCAGAAATGGTAGTGTGATCAATCAAGTAGTATCACTAGTAACTATTGTTGGGCAAAGAACTGCAGGGTGGGTAGTCGCTGTGTACTGCATTTTGGATCTCTTGCCTTGTGCTTGCTTAGTCGAGCCCAGGTTAATCGCTAATAACCAACAAACCACCTTGCTTCTAGGCTCTAGGCATAGTTTCTCTCTTATTAGGAGTAGACGGTCATCACTTAGCTCCTATTTAGGCTTTTGCTTCTGTTACCTTCCTTTAGGTTCTTTGTTTTTATTATTCTTTCTTAGTCTTTGTTTCGAATCCCAAACTCTTTTTTTCTCCTTATGAAACACGTCATGGCATGTCCACAAAAAAACACCAAAATAGCAAAATGCGTAGAAATTTGCCTACACGCATGGTTACTAATGCAGGACACCAAGACTGGAGAATATGTATCAGAATTCACTGAATTTATTTCTGTACATATACCCTAGAAGAAACTTCTTTACACCAAGATAGGCTATTATTTTTTTAGTTCCAGCCTCTAACTCTAATTTTTAAGCATGGAAATGCAGACGATTAAACCATTCATTTATTCATACTACTTTTTTTTACAGGTAAACCCAGTTTTTATAGAAAGCTTAGAATTCATTCATACTACTTGTATCTCAAGTTCCCAACTAGGTACGTTATTCATGAAAACCTCAATCTACTGACACTACTGAACAGCTTATGCGTTCTAAAAAGGCCATTTCTGTTTCTCAAATGTATTCAGCTACCCCATGATTTTTTTGCAATACAGTTCCAAATTAATGAATATAAGCTTAGGAATAACAGTAAGAAATAGAACTTATGAACTGAAAACCAGGATCTTATAACACGTTATGTTATATTGCTAAAAAACAATGTGCACCATTAAACAGCTGATTCTAGGAGAATCGTTGAATGCTGAATGAATAGATAGACCTTAGTGCATTGCCAGAAGCGAGAACTGAGAACATCATCCAACTCATATTGATCTCAATGATGAATCATCATGTTTTACAAATTATTGAGATCTAAGCAAGCAAGTGAATTCTTTTTGTTTCCACCCATAATTAACTTTCAAGTCGTGTTTGTGAAGTCACTGTTGGATTTTGTCTGACCATGAATAGTATTGCTGCAAGATTGTAAATTCAATACATCCAGTCCAGAAACCATCCTAAAACCTCAAACTCACTTTATTGATCACAAATTCAATTTGCTACTAGTTGTTTTCGATTTTGTTCCAGCTCCTTCCATTTTGTCATATTCGGGAGCTGTTTACTTTTGGTAGTTCTCTAAAACGAAAAGCTAATGCTGCTCAGAACGAAATTATGCAGATTTGAGGAGGAAATCAAACTCTCACCTCCAAGAAATAGTCATCTGAAATGCCAAGTTCTGGGTGCCACTTTTCAGGTCTTCCGTTCCTGCTTGAAGTCCCAGAGCTGCAGCCTCGGCTCCGAATTGTCTGGCACCACCGGAGAAGCAGCAGCACCGCCTCCAAGAAAGAACGGCAGTCCGGTGGCATCAGCCGGAGAAGCGGCGAACCTCTGCAGCAGGCACGCTTGCTGAGACGTCGGCCACAGCGGCGCGGCGACGGCGGCATTGGACTGAAGTGTGCCCCGGTCGAAGGCGACTGCGTGGTGAGGCTGCTCCTGGATGAAGGAGAAGTGGGGTGGCATCGTCTCGAAGGACATGGCCGACGCGGCGTGCGCGCTCGGAGCTGCGCTGCGTAGTAGGCGAGCGTCGGCTGCTGCTGCTGCTCCACGGGCTTGCTGTCGTTGGCGGAGCAGTGCAGGATCAGCTCGGCGAACGCGCCGCCGCCGCCGGCGTTGCCGCTGTAGGCGTGACTGGCTTGCTGAGCGGCGGCGGCAGCGTTGTCAGCCGGGCGTTGGCGAGCGAGAGCACGGAGCTCTTGCTGGTGTCGGAGGTGCTGACCTCGGCGTCGTCGCCAGCGCCCGGCGGAGATGCGGCCCCGGCGGCGGTGGGGAGGGCGAAGGAGCAGTCGAGCGACGGGAGGCCGTCGATAGCGGCGGCGGCGGCGGCGCGGATGAGCCACTCGATGGCCTTGCTGGGCTGGTCGACGCCGAGGCGGTCCTGGATGTCGTAGAACTGGATGGCCGTGGGCACGGAGAGACGGACGCGGCGGTCCCGCAGCCCCCGCGCCGTCACCACCTTGCTGTGGCGGTCCTTGCCGCCGGCCGCGGCGCGCGCCACCCGGCTCGCATTCCACGCGGCTGCCGACCCGCCGCCGTCGAGCGCGCCGCGCGGGCGCTTGCAGGCGGCGCGCTTCATGCCTGCTGCTACTGCTACCTCCTCCATGCCGCCGCGCTCATCCCCAGTTGCCGACGATGCGCGGCCGCCGTCCCTGCTCATTTGCCGGTGGAATTGCGAACAGATTGATTTGATTTGATTCTTTTTGGATAGGGAATCATGCTAATATGGTAAGGGAACTGTGGATTTAAGCAACAAATCCTTGGAGAAACTAAAATTGATAAGCAATCCCAATCAGTGAAAAGGCAGGAGCTTTTGTGAATGGAATCTGCTGAAAGCAACAGGAATCTGAAAAAAAAAATGGACACACACAGGATGTTCTTGAGTAAATTAACGGTGCCGGCCCGTTAACTTTACACTGACCAGCCGAGCCACACACTCAATGCCAGAAAAAAGCGTGCAAAAAGACGAAGATTCGTTCGGCTCCAATAAATATACGAAAATCTTATCGCCAAATCTGGTAAACTGAAGAGAGCCTTTGCAGAGTTGTTGGGCAAATTATGAAGGCCTTGACTGATCATGACATGAAACGTAGTGCGTCGTCAACAACCACGCATAATCTCTTCCTTTCGAATCCTGAGCCAAGCTCGAGCATCTTATTGGGCCACGTCGCCCGCTTTTCTCAGCCATAGGATTGTATATGAATATAAGAACGAACGGCAGATATTGATCGAACCGTTCAACCCGGCCGTCCAGCTAGCACGCTTCGAGAACCGTCCTCCCCCGTCGCTCCTCCCCACGTCTTCGGCCACCGCCGCTCCTCCTCCCCAGTCTTCTCTGCGCTGCCGCGCCCTCCCTACTCCGGTCCCTCCCCCGCAGCCCGGCGAGCCAGATCCGTCCGGCCAAGAGGTAGACGTAGACCTGGCCGGCGTAGCGACCTATGGCGACACGGAGGAGCGATGCGGGCGACTGTCGTCGCGAGGCGGCCTCGACCCTGCAACCTAGACGGCCGAGCCATAGGCGCCTGTCCCATGCGGGGATGCTGCGGGCGGCACCAGGACGGCCACGCAAGGAGGCGCCCAGGCAGCAGCGGGGCTCCTCGGAGGCATGCGAAATTTCCCCCGTGCTCTGGTCAGCGCGTAGCATTGCACGTCGCGGTGCTCGGGCGCCTGCTCCACACATTTCCGACGCTCCAGAGCCTCCACATAGCAGCGTCTTCCTCGCTCAACGATGCCTAGCTTGTCGTGGCCTTGTACCGCACATGGAGGAGCCAACTGATGCAACCGTGGATGCCCACGCTACTTCAAAGTAGCACTGACTTTCGGCATCCACACTGTCGCTGTTGTGGAAAAGAAGCTGAGCATGGCTCCCATGAGGAAGAAGGCAAGTAGCGCCGGCGCTATGCAGCTTCCCCATGCCTCTGTGCTCCCTCCCACGCCGTAGAGCGCACCACCTAATGCCCCAGTAGCTGCTAGGGAGTAGGGACACTCACATGGACGACACCCACCATGTGCTCGATCAAATGACTACAAGGTTTAGCTCTCTTTAGTGGATAGTTATACTATTCATATGAAGGGCTTTTTTATCTAATAGAAAACTTTGGTCTTTGATTCATTAGAATATACTAAGACGTACTAAGTTTCAATCCATTTCTACATTGAAACACCTCTCATGTGTCTTTTTCTTGACTAAAAGACTTGCTGGTTGAATTTTGCAGAATGAAAAAAAAAACACTTAAGATGTGCCTGGGCAGCACCATGTGAACTAGGAGGTACACATAATGTGTGATGCACTTCTAAAATCATTTGTGTTGATCACTTGAGATTATATTTAATGGCATGCTTTTAAATAGTACGATCTGTGTCCTCGGTGTGCTTTCAAACTCTTGCAGAGCTTCAACATCCGAGGAACTGCTTTCCTGAGAGGTTATCTGCCCTTGCCAATTGTATACAGCAGCATGATTTTAGGACTTAGGCAAAAACATCTTAGTGTTGAAAAATAATATAGCTTTTACTTAAGCTGGGGGTAGTAATATATTTTGATGCTAGGTAGTTATATATTATAGGATTAGGACTAGCTTTGTTTGGGGCAACCTCAGAAGATGCTTCATCTCCCTTTACTTGCAATCACCATCTTACAAGTTTGGCCTTATAGTACATTGCTTCCACTGCAACTCAGTATCTGAAATGATTGATAGTCCGGTTTTTCAATGCTCAAACTTGCACATTTTATCAACACCTATGCATATATCAGATAATTTCGATGATAGAACTCACGACATAAAACTCTGCAATATTATCCAATAGCTCTGTTGCTGACAATTTCATTGTCGTGGCCTGGATTGTGTTGAAGATTCAGATGTTCCATGGATTTCAGTTTGCTGATTCTATTTTAGTTTTTGCCACATGGATTTCATCACCCTTACCCTAATTTAGGCATATGATATTTCTGCTTCTGTTTGATGAAATTTCCATGGCCTAATTGCTTCTAGCAGGTAGTGATGATTGCTCTATTTATCGGTTGTGTGCTCCATGCCACAACTCCATTCAAGGGTAGCGGTGGAGTCATCAAAGGCAGTGGCCAATGATCCAGCAGAGGGGGCAGCATGGTCACGCAGCTCACATTCAGCTAGCGTCTCTCCGTCAAAACTTGGTCACATTGCACTACCTATGGCAAAGCGATGGATAAAGTGATTAGTCAATGAGGTACACTGATTCTAACAAGCGTTACGTTGTGACCGTGATTTGAACATAAACTCCATATGGAGTTCACAAAGGATTGAATTACATGCGCAACTTATGTATCCTATTTATTCTTAGAGGAAGACAAATACACTCTGGTGGATGGCGTCAATACTATGCTCCAGATAGCTGTGAAGCTGTTGAACAAGAAGCCAAAGCCAGTTTTTTTTGTTTTTGAAACGAGAAGCCAAAGCCAGTTGGGCAACAGATGCTGGAAGACAACGTTATCATCGTCAGAAGGACTAAGCTGCTGTCGGCGCTGTTTCTTTTTCTGGATCCGATGGTTGTAAGGCCGTCTTTGCATGATGATACTTCTGTGATGGTCCTATCGTGTCGCTTTTCTGTTAGCCCTTTTGTTGTTGTTTTGGTTGCCCCATCTGAGACAGATGTAGGCTGGGTATGGGCAAAAGCTTTAGCGTTGAAGAACTGTTTAGTTGGCTTCTTTAGCTTTCTCCACCTCCTATGCTCTTCCAGATATACTCTTGAATGATGTATTTCCGTTTGAAAAAAAAACGGTTTGAAAAAAATGTATCCTATTTATTTTTCTTCATGCAATTTTTAAGGTTTTATGTTACCAATGTTTGTCCATTGAAATGCCATGATTTCCATAATATCATTGTGATCGGTATGCCAATGACAAGCTGATGTTGCATCAGAAACTTGTATTTTGTTGTCTATAAAATTTCATCAATGTTCTCCCACAAATATTGCAACGACAATGGTATGTTCCCAACTTCCCGCTTATTATAAAAACGAGTCTGTCTACTACACAACCATATGTTCTATGCAATTCCAACACATGAATTTTTTTGCACCATAAGATTAAGATCAACCGCCTCTAGCCTTCTTCTACCTTTAGACAATTACAAAATCACAGATCACAGGAAACAATTTTTTTCTATGGAAGCACAAATCACAGATCCGCCGGCTCCCAGGCTGCTCGCCTCCGCCTTTAACTCGCTCGACGCTCCTCCCAGGCTGCTAGCCTTCCGCTCGCCGGAGCCGCATCCGCTCGCCCGCCGCGTCCGCTTGTCGGAGCCGCGCCATGCTCGCCCGCCGCGTCCACTCGCCGGAGCCGCGCCATGCTCGCCCGCCGCGTCCACTCACCCGCGCTGCGCGTTCACGTGCCGGTGTGCGCTCGCCCGACGGCCGCCGCGCTCGCTCGCTCGCGTGCTGGTGCTGGTTCTCCGCTGCCGCGTGCGCTCGCCATGTGTGCGCCAGGCGCGGGTGCCGGGGCGAGCTCGCCGGTCGCCGTCGCGCGGCGCCGGTGGTCACCGGTGAGAAAGAGAGAGGGAGAGATATATAAAAAATCCATGTGTTTTTTGGTGCTAAAACACATGTGTGTTGTATAGCATTTCTGTAGTATGTCTACTACACAACCATGTGTTTTATATAATTCCAACACATGAATTTTTTTATAACATAAGATTAAGATCCAACAGTCTCCAGCCTTAATCTACCCTCAGACAATCACAAGATCACATGTCACAGGAAACAATTTTTTCTATGGAAGGATAAATCAAAGATCCGCCGCCGCCACTGCCGTAGGTCGCGGTCACTGTAGGTAGCCGCCGCCGGCGCCTAGGCTGCTCGCCTCTGCCTTTGCCTCGCTCGACGCTCCTCCCAGGCTGCTAGCCGTCCGCTCGCCCGCCGCGTCCGCTTGTCGGAGCCGCACCATGCTCGTCCGCCGCGTCCGCTCGCCCGCGCTGCGCATTCGCGTGCAGGTGTGCGCTCGCCCGACGGCCGCCGCGCTCGCTCGCTAGCTCGCGTGCTGGTGCTGGTTCTCCGCTGCCGTGTGCGCTCGCCGTGTGCGCGCCGGGCGCGGGCGCCAGGGCGAGCTCGTCGGTCGCTGTCGCCGACGCCGGTGGTCACCGGTGAGAAAGAGAGAGGGAAAGAGATAAAAAAAATCCATGTATTTTTTTGTGCTAAAACACACGTGTGTTGTATAATATTTCTGTATAAAAATTAAGATATGTTTTAAAAAATATTAGTCTTGCATCATTAAATAGATATATTTATTGGAAGTTGCTGCTCTGCACTGATACTCTCACGTAATCGCGCCTGGCCTAACATAGGCAGGCGCGCGGCAATGCCGCGCTTGTTTCTAGTTGCATCAGAAATCATGCGCGCGATCCTATGTCTCATCATCTGGGAATTTTTTTAAAAAAAAATGTGCACCTATGCCAGGCCATGGCATAGCTCGCACCTTGCAGTATAAGTGCACTATGAATGCATGTAGTTTCTATATCTATTAATTTCTATAGACACTACGTATAGAAATCATGGCCCCAATAGATAGTTTCTACGGAATATATTTTTATCCAATCATGTACATTCTGTTAGATTTAATGTGGGCCAGGCCCATATATTATCTAATTAAATCAAATAAATTCTAAGGTCCGTATTAAATAATGTGTGCGA